GGAGAGTATGGGCTCAATCTCAATATGGTTACTCCGTCGAATCCATCTACTGACGACAGTTCTTCCAGTCGTGTGTGACATGGTGCATTATCACATATCACGACAACCTGCCGGAGCTCCATCTCCCGTTTCAGGTTGTCTAAATAGCTTCGCAGCCATTCGAGAGATATGGAACCTGTGAATGAGCCTCTCCGGGTTGTCATCGACACTTTCCCTTCCATCGTGAGTGCACCGATTAAATGTAAATTGTGCCCTCTGCTGTTGGCAACTTTGCAACAGGCCCTCACTCCTCTGGGCGCCCGACCACGAGTACGTTTGCAGTAAACGTTGAAGTTCGCTTCGTCAATCCAAATGAAGAACTTGCCATCGTTCTCAAATTGGAGAAACTGCTGAACGAATTCCCTGCGTATTCCTTTGTTTCGCTCATTGTTCATTCCCTCGGGAACCTGATAGATGTTCTTCATAGTTATCAATCGACCATCTAGGTGCCGTGCAATTGTTGACTTCGAAATGTCCTTGTCCATTTCTGCTCGTACTCGCATTTCCCGTAGCGTAGGAGTTGAGTCCCTTGCGATCCAATCCAGGATGTCATCTACGTCTTCCTCCGACAAAATCCGTTTACGACCGCGCGCCTGCGTAGTACTCGGTTCCTGATCAAGAGAACGACGAATCCAGGAGTAGGCTGTTTGATATTTGACGTTGTTCACAGTTGCCACAAGCTGCCAGTCATCACCGTTGACGAAAGCGCCCAAAACTCGGTCACGAATATCTGATGAGATACTCTGTCGAACGTGAGAAGGCATGCCGATGACGTAAGAATCATAGACATGGTTTCGGTCGTGCGCTTATGTTCCAGCTGTTCATTGCTCTCAGACCAATTGTGATCCATTGTTTCGGACGTGAGGGGGGCGCATACAAGCCCGTTGCACCGTCGAAGTGCATTCCTCCAAGGTTCATTCACAAGTCTCACCCAGTCAACGAGCAGCGCGCTCACCTCCCCAGACTAACGCACCGAACCTTGGCATCCGGCCAATGAGAACACACTTAAGGTCAGAGGATTGGCTCTGAGCGGCTGGCATGCACAGGGTTTTGCAACATTATGGACTTTCTTTGCAAAGTTTTGGACCTTCTTTGCAAAATTTTGGACTTTCTTTGCAAAATTTTGGACTTTCTTTGCAAAATTTTGGACTTTCTTTGCAACTTTGCGGGAAATGCTATGGTTCCTCTCCTCACTTTTATATTTTTCCTCATTTTTTAAGTCATTGTGGTTTTATGGGAGCAAATCATTCGTCTAAATGGCTGATGCACTGCTGTTGTTGTTTATGGTGGCGGTGGTTCACTGTTATCAAGATAACTGGTGGACTTTTCCTTGCTTCCAAACTGTTGTTAACAAAAAGGGGACTTGAACCGGAGGCGAATACGGTTTTACCATTCTGGCAGCGAGGATTGCAGAGCACGTCCGCCCGTACATGGTTCCAAATGACTCGAAACTACCCACTAGCTCTATTGCACGTCGCGTACTTGATGGCCCCATGTGCGAAGACCCAAGTGGTAGGTTTATAGTAATCAACAAACAAAGCGATCCCATCTAATTCAGTTCGCTGAGGCCTCGGCAATTCGCCGGTTGAAACCAAGTTGGTGCAAACAAACGGACTTCGTGACAAACCTCGCCTTACTATGGTGAGGCTAGTGTCATCTTTCATCCGATCGGGTCACGTGAACTCACCGATTTTCGGCCGCTGTAACTTTCCGCTGATAACATTGCAACTTGATCTCCCTTGCTATGTAGCGTGTCCCTTCCACAAATTGTCTGTAACCAGCTGAGGAGAACATACGAAATTACTGAATTCAGTATATTTTGTTAAGGTGTGATTTTTTCTTACTCTGTTGCAATTCGTGAAGGGAAATGCTTGTATGAGATTCTGTTATTCTGTGGCATGTAACTAATTGGCAACCGAGAGTGTATGCATTCTCTCTCTACTTTTTTCCCGCTGTTGTTTTGAGCACACTGAGATTAATGTTTACATGGATTAAAGTTTTTCGCTCCCCTTATCCATCTGTGGTTTGGCTTCCAACTGACCAACTTAACTCTTTAAGTCGCAGAGTAAAATCAATAGAAGAAAAGATTATTTTTGGAAAATCGGCAGTTCTCAACCAAAGGGAATTGAAAAACTACGGCACTGACTCACTTTCGAAAGCAGTTTTTATTACCAGATTCGAAATTCCGAATTAAGGTAAAACGTTGCACTTTGAAATAGTGGGACTGGAAACTGGAACCTACATGTGTGTGCATCAGCGCTTTCACAACCGCACTTTGTCACGTGTGGTATCGAATTTTCGGTTTGGTATATTTAATATCTCCCACTGCTTGAGGCGGCAGTGCCAATGTGCTTGGGGCTTTTAGTCTTCTCCTGCCTTTTCGCCCGCTTGTCGACTGGCAACTCCGGAATCCCACTTCTCATTGCCTAGTCTTGCCCAAAGAATCACCCAGAGGGCAATGTTTGACCGATACGATAACTGTTTGGCAACAATTCACGTCCTGTTTAAGGTCATAGACGAGATCAGTAGGTACTTTCTCAGCTGACAAACGCTTGCGTTAGCCCTCCATGGTGTCGACAGATGTCGCAATGTTTCTTGGACATTGGCTATCAAAGACGACCAGTGTTTCTGTGTTCTTATTTAGAGCTTTCTTTTACACACTCCTCAACGCGATTCGCACTGTGGTGTTGTACTTGGTTACTTATCTTTCATATCATCGACTTGCAAATGAATTGCAAACCGTATCCATAAACGTGAACCACTTGGGAAAGATCTTTTCCAAGTGTTCCAATAGAAATGACACATCTCAGTCGTCGCGATCATCGTCCCAGTTTGCCGTACATGCTACACCAATCCCTGCTGGTTCACTTGTCCTGGCGAAGTTTTCGTGACAAAGGCGAAACATTGCCTTCTGATTGTTTTCAAACTCTTTTGGAATCAGGAATTCTCTATCGGCTCCATTCGTGTGTCCATGAACGGTTTACTTTTGCTAATAAGCTCCACCTATCCTATACGCGAGATAGCTTCTTTCGTGACGCCGTCATTAACTGTGGTCTGCAATTTAGCTGCATGTGCCGATCGATCATTGCAGGCGCGCGCGTTCCATAACTATGGGGATAGTTGCGTTATCGGCCCATCCCTCTCCAAGCGCCTCCTATTTCTGGGACGCGATGCGCATGTTATTGCTCACCGTGCCAATGGTTATTGGTTCCATGGCTAAATGTTTGGTGACGCTCGTTCCCCCGGTTACTTGTTGTCGTTACCACACACAGCCACGCAACTCTTGCTTCCACATCTGAGCCGCGAGTGGGACCCGATTTGGCTTCGGCAACGGTCCACGTTCTTCCAATATTCGCATTACTGATGGAAATTTTTTGAGAAACGTGTGTACCAGACAATGTACACAGGGAAGTTGCTGGGCTATAGCCTATCCTGTGATGAGGCCGCTCCTTCAGCTTAGCGTTGTCACGCACTATGCACCTCTTCTTTATCTTTAGCTGTCAGCGGACTTCTGGTGCTGATATTAGGGGCGGATACAGACGGGTAGACATTTGTATCGACCTCAGTTGGACTCATCATATCACTCGGAGTCACACGCCGGACACAAATCAGTCATTCATGTCGGACTTGACTAAAGTGGTAAGGCACCGTGTATCCATAATCATCTGACCGTCGCCACCCGCACAGCGATGTTCACATCACTTTGCTTCTGGCATAAGTGATGGAACTAGTCCTTGTCATTCTTTAGTCTTAAAAATGGTGAGCGGTACCTGCATCGATGTCTCCAAGTTCAGCGACCTAGATGATTTCAGTAGAGTGTAAGACCAACGCACCCGACATACAAACTCACCGGCTCGCATATTGACCTACGTTCCAGCAACTCGAATGATACGAATGGACCTGTTGTAATGGTAGCGCCAGTCAGTCGCCACCCACGCAAACGGACTATCATTGCATGGGCCGGAAGTGTAATGCAGTATTAGTTGAGCCCATCATAAACGAAGTGTGATGTGCTTTTAGGCAAAGAGGCACATTGGCTCTTCTCACAGCGAGCGAACATCATGTGCGCGTCAACTAACCCAAGCTGACAGTACTCGCTGTGCTGGCGGGTGATCGGCTGAGATGCCTAAAGTTGCACGGTCGGACGGAGAAGGCAGAAGTGCTTCGTCGCAGCGTAGTCACAGAGGAAGTATGGACTGGATGGCGTAGTGGTGGCGAAGGTTGTGCGCGGACTGGTGAATTCAGTTGGACGCCGTATGATGGGTATGAAGGACGTACAGGCATAACTGATCTATGTCCAGGAATAACAAGTTTTTGTTAGTTGCCAAAACTTCGTTTTGACTCTCGGAGTGTTTTGCAACACGCATCGAAAATGGTTGGAACACGTGTGCCTAAAAAATTCGAGCTAAGTGGAAGCGTTTAGTTACACAATCGCCCAAGTGTTATCCTCTTCTGGTTAAACACCCTTGCGTTTCCACACTTCTCTTGGTATTCACATAAGAACCTGCTCGGTTTCACTCGATTCGATGCGTTGTTGGCTCTCAAACCTGGGGCTACTTACAAACTGACCTTAACCGACAAACCAATGTCTTACCTCCGGGGGCTCAGCGCATTGGCTTAGCGGTGCCGTTCTGACTTGCAATTCTCGCTTGTGAACATTCTACTGCTAACTTAGCTTATTTAGGTTCAGGCTAGTTGTTCCAACCGAACCGCAGTATATTTTTCGTCAACTAGATTGCGACATTGCACTTGTTACGTTTGTTATATCTCAATTTTCAGTGGTGCTTGTTTGCTGCTTCGTTTCAATTTTTTTTCCTGGCAATGCTTATCCATCGTTTGCAAAACCCCCCAAGGTAATTTCGGTCCCATCTAGCTAACACCTCTGAGCTTGGTTGTCTCCTCTTGTGTCGCAGTACTCACTGATTCAACTGCATTTGATCCGTATTATTCGATTGTCCAAGGTGTCCGGCGGCGTTTCACACCGGTGATTTGTGCACTCCCGCTGGGTCGGCCGAGGTCTCCCTTTCACACATAGTCTGTCCTCGCCACTATGAAGAGAAATTGAACAGTCTGTCTGGTTTCAAAACTCAACACACCAGCTGGTGCTTCAAATGTTTCAACCCGGTGACAGAAAAAGTGAGCATCATCTGTTTTTCGCTTATTCTACTTTGTTCACTGCCGCTTTGGCGACCCACTTTTTGTTAATGCATGAATCACTCAGCATAAAACGGCTCGCATGTGCCCGGCTTTACTGAGACACTGTACCGTTATAGCTTAGAACGGGCATGCAATATCATGATCAGACTACCCGACTTTGTGTCGAAGACATTAAGCGGCTGGTAGCCTTTGACCGCTAGCGCCTACCTAGTGTTGTTGATATCTGGTGAGTAGAGCCGATGCGTATCAGTTGATATTTTGAAACAAGCCATTTTACGCAACACATTAGACTCTCTTCGGCACCTGCATGACCTACGTTGGCTTAATCATGTGCTTCGTCTGCCAGTCGATCACCACCCGACTTGGCGTGTGCTGCTTTTGGACACTGCGATTGGTTGGTTGAAGCTGCAAAGGGACCAAATGTTGACGCAGCGAAAGTATTAAGAAGTTTGCTTGTGTTAATGAATGCCACTTTCGTCATCAGTAATGCATGTGATGAGCGTCCTTCTGCAACATGATACGGCTGCAAAGTCAGTGACTCTCTAGCGTTCACTGTCAGATCTCGTTGTTAACCTGTTATCTGCTAAACCTTTCGTTTCCCACATAATGTCCGTCGAAGACGATCAGTTTTCCTCTAACTTCCAGTCATTAGCCAGAAAGAGAGGCCAACAGTCATGAAGTAAAAGCGTGCTGAAGAAACAACTACCAAAGTGGCGCAAGTAGACTGAAAATAAAAGCACATTTATAGCCGAAGAATATTTAGCTACTGGCAAAGTTAGCTCAGCTACCAAAAAAGCAGCTTGGAACCGAACCTATCAGTGAGTGGCAGATACACGTGTCACCTGGCGAACTTGAATTTTCCACAAAAAACTGGATGCTTCCACTGACTACTATTTCTTCGAATCGTTGTCACGTTGTAATCATGCATTACCCAAAGCGCTCTTACCTTCACCCTGAAGTCATTCAACAATTGTGGCCCTAGCTAGCACATTCGACGAAAGATTGTCAGCGCTAAGGACTTTGGGGTTGATCGTACATGCTGTACGCTGGTTAATGGTAACCTGCTCTCCATCAGATTACTTTATTAAAATTTTCGAATTTCTAGTCTAGTCCTTTTCGATGAGTTTCCTTTTCGTTGGAGTTTCCTCAAAGTCACAGTCAGAGAGTCACAGAACATCTGGCAGAGCATTTACAGCTGTTTCATCCTTTCGAGAATTGTCAGCAGTGTGCATTCCATCCGCCTGTTATGGGGCTGGAACTTGTGGTCATCGAACGTAGACGATTTTTCGTCACACTGTAGGCGCTCACTTCATCACTTAAGTTTCGTCGTATTTATGCAGTTCACTTTTTCCTTGCATTTTCTACACAGTTTCCACCCTGTATTACCAAGGCAATTTTGCACATATTTACCGTTACATTTTGACACCTCTAACATAGTTGGATTTCCATAGTTGCTTTTAACGGCTCTCCTTTGCCAAGCATGCAGTCTTCACTGGTAAGGTTTTTGAACTAAAGGCTTTGGTTGAGAACCCTAATCGTTCTCCTGTCTAGGCCTGGGCAACCTGACAGTATTCTGCCCACGCAATACAATGAACCTTTCCTACAACAATTTCTTGATGCTCTGGCCGTCGCAGAGGATAATAAACTGTCGCTCGATTTGGAGCACGAGCGTGGACTCTGACCACGCACTTGTTTGTGCCGACCTCCTGGTGCGTTTCTGTGGACGTCCGCAACGTCGATGTGAACGGATTGACACCAGCCAGCTGGCGAAGCCAGATGCTCTGAATGTGTACCAAAGTGCGCTGACATCAGGCAAGCATGTCTTCATGTGGCAAAACAAATTGCCAAACCGGACATTGGGTCTCTACACAGTCTCTGGAACTTATAGATGCTCGCCGATGTATTCCGGCTGGAAGCGAATACAATGAGGCTCGAAAAAATCTCAGGGCAAAGCTACGTGCTAGCCTGAAGAAGGACCGCGAAACCTGGTGGTCTCATCGTGCATCGGAAATGGAAACAGCCGCTGCCGTTGGTAATCATCGTAAGTTATTCCATCTGATACGGGAAACAGGTAGCAGGAGACCTGATGTTAGCGAGACCATACGCGATGAGAGTGGGCGACCGATCCACAGTCTGTCAAAACGCTTGGAGCTTTGGGCTGAACACTTTGCAAGACAATTTAACCAACCTGATTTATCGCTTTCTTCTTCGGGGATTTAGCGCCCTCCCTAGGCCGTCTCTTTGGATCCGCCCTCACGCCCAGAAGTCGAACGTGAGATCAGGCTGTTAAAATTACATAAGGCCGCAGGGGCAGATAGAATTTCCCCAGCCCTCTTCAAATTCGGGGGATCTGCTCTAGTAGATGATTTACACGAATTGGTAGTAAAACTTTGGGAGCAGGAAATAGTCCCGACAGACTAGAACCGCTCCGTCATTGTCCCAATTTTCGAGGGAAACTCCCGTTTGGAATGCGGCAATCATATAGGGATCAGTCTGATTTCCATTGCCTCTAAATTGCTTGCCTCTATCATTCTCCACAGACTGACTGGCACTCGTGAAAGCCAGATTCGTGAAGATCAGGCCGGATTTCGTCGAGGTCGGGGCTGCATCGACCACATCTTCACTTTGCATCAAGTGTTGGGGCACCACCATGTTTATTGGCAACCCACCGTTATCGTGTTTCTTGACATAAAAGGTGCCTTCGACTCAGTCGATTGATGTGCGCTTTGGGACTGTCTGTTGAGGAAAGATGTGCCTGATAAATATGTAAACATTATCAAAGCGCAGTACGCGCATAGTTCGGGCAGGGTGAGGGTTTATGGCAAACTGTCGCCACCCTTCAGTATCACCAGCGGTGGGAGATAAGGATGCCCGCTGGCACCTTTTCTCTTCAACTTCGCTATTGATGAAGTCATGGAAACAGCGTTCGCTGGACACGATTTAGAAGGTGTGGAGTTACTTCCAGGTGAGCGACTTCTTGACTTGGGGTATGCGGACGATATTGCCCTAATCTGTGACAGCTCCCAAACATGCCAAAGAGCACTGGACCGATTAGCACTGGCTGTCAATCGTTTTGGGCTATGCTTTGCTCCATCGAAATGCAAAGTACTTCTCCAAGATTGGCAGGGACCCAACCCTGCGCTAACACTTGGTGGTGATCTGCTAGAAGTCGTTCAGGAATTCAAGTACATGGGCAGCTATATTAGCATCCGTGGGATTGAAGATGAGGTTACGAACCGTGTAGCAAAAGCTCTTTGTGCTTTTGCCAATCTCCGCCACCTGTGACGCAGACGCGACATTACTCTCGCACTGAAGGGCAGAGTTTACAACGCAGCCGTCCGTTCGACTCTCCTATATGGTTGTGAAACCTGGCCCATCAGGTCGAGAGACATAAAGAGGCTCGTCATATTCGATCATCGCTGCCTTCGCAGCTTAGCTCATGTCTGGTGGGAGCACCGCGTGAGCAATGAGCATGTTCTACCTCGTGTATTTGGTGCAGGAAGAGCGAGTGAACCGCTTAGCACCATTATATCACGCACCAGGCTCCGATGGCTGGGCCACGTGTTGCGCATGCCAGCACACCGACTGCCGCGACGTGCATTGTTTGCGCGTTGTGCGTGCGGTTGGAAGAGGAGGAGGGGAGGCCAAGTGATGACTTGGTCGAGAGAAATGAAAACCCTCAGTTCGAAGTTGGCGTCGGTTGGTGCATCCCGACTGCCTGGCTGGGGTCCTAAGGACGGTGAACACGTTTGGTTGGACACACTTGCTGATATGGCTTAGAGCCGGCCCCAATGGCGTTTGTGTTGTGAGTTCCTTTGTCCATCCCCCTCCTGCTTAGCACCCCCCTTCAATCACGATCTCACTTTTTAGGCATAATATGACTCCTTTACGGCAGCCAGCTGTTAGCTCTCCGGAACAATGTCCATCCGTTTGCTGGAGACTCAGCGGGCGTGCCACTGTTTGTTTTTCTTTTCTTGTCTTTTATATTGCGGCACAATAGCTGAGGTGTTTTCCACCTCCAGCTAACGTGTAATGACGATGATGATGCAGTCTTCACTAGTTTTAACCTTCATTAAAAGCGGATGGACTGGTTGGTTTAATTATTTTTTCTACAGCCACGTCGGGGTTTGCTAGCGTCTACTATCCCTGTCATCAATTTCTCTTCTAATCCAGTGTGCTCAGTCTTATGAGTTTTCTCGTTCCCAAATGTCACGTTAGTCCGCTAGTAGTTGGCTTTCTCGTCTAAATATATTCGCCATCAACGATACTCTTTCTTACTAGCCCATTCCAAAATATGCAAGTGATTAGGCACCACCAACTCTTTCACTTATTCCTTCTTCCATACAAATAGACAGACTCCCTTTAATTTTCATACGTCTATTTGCAGTTGTTTTTGTCTTCTCAAGTCCTTCATATTCTCCCCCCCCTTAATTTTGCTCTCGTGCCAACTACTGTATCCTATAAAGGTTAGGATTTAACTTTCCACCTTTAGGGCTTTTTTCATTGCCGTTGATTCCCTTAATCTCGTATCTTACCTAACATTACTACCCTGTGTTACTTAGCATGATCCCCCTAGCCTGTCGTTCATTTCCTATCGTCTTTGTATTTAGCACGTATCACCAATTGTTCTTTTTATGCTTTACGCGCTAAGCAGGCTATCACACCTCCGTTTGTTGTCGGTTAGTCTGATTTCCCAACCCAGCCATCTGGCTATTTCGAGTCGTTCCATTGTCTTTACAACTCACTTTATTAATTTTGTACTCTTTACTTCTGATTTTATTTCACTACCGCTTATTAGTTACCATACGACGACAGAACACTTTCTCTACCATCATTCGTCCCTTATTTTCGGATTATGTACGCCCATGCCGTCTCTGTATATACTCTTATTGACCCATGTACCAAGCGGATTTTCTCATTTTGAAGGTGCTATGTCAAACGTGTCCTGCAACGTACCACAGAGACTGTCTGTCATCACCGCCACCACCGGAAGGCGGTGCTTTCACATGCGACTCGTGCCGGTGAGTCTGCACTGTTTCATTGGCTAAAAACGTGCATTATATACTTGCTTTTCCTCTATTTTCGCACTTTGCTTCTTCTCTGAAAATGTCGTCAATTTCTCGACAGAATTGCTTGGCTCTTTTGTGATGCCACTGTGCATGAAAGAACACGTGTACCTAGGGTGAACAACCTCGCTCCTCTTTTTGTTTCGCTTTTTAAAAGTTTCCCCGAAGAATCCTTCTTTGCAAGGCCCATGTTCACTTTGTGGTGATGGTATATGGTGGAAGCATCTAGTTGTCATGGGCTCGGATCCGATAAATGCGCACTGCTGAGGAAACCCAGCACATCGAGACGGCCATCTAGTGATTTCCCGGGCATGTGGTGTTGGGCAAATCAGTGTTGGAAGGAGCCACACCGAATCATCTCGATGTGATGGACTATCTTAGTTGGAACTTACTGACAAGAAACTCCAAACGATGATGGTATAGGTAGAAATCCGTCACATCTAGACTCACTCAGACAGCCCGGAAAAGCACTGTACGCGCGTTTCATCTTTTCGGGAATCGTCAGCAGTGCGCATTCCATCGGACCCTGGTAGAGCTCGAACTCGCGCTATATCACATCTAGTAATTTATTTACGATGGTCGTTGCCGTCCCCCGTAGCTCAGTGGTCACAACCGCGGACTGGCAACAGTGGAGTTGCGGGTTCGAGCCTTACCAAGGTCCGATGGAATGCGCACTTCTGACGATTCCCGAAAAGATGAGACGGGCGTACTGTGCTTTTCCGGGCGTGTGACGGCTGTCTGAGTGAGTCTAGATGTGACGAATTTCTACCCATACCATTCAACTCCCCCCTACTACTCTTCTCTGATGATGGTATGTGTTGCGCAATGGTTGGATGGAATTCGGTATCGGCCAGTGGAACACGCGCAGCAGCCGTTCGCTATAGTGTTATTCGACTGACCAACCAATCCATTTACAACCCCGTCGAAGAGCTGCTTTACTCTAGCAGATTTAAGATCGTCAGAGCATTCATCCCCTTCATTTACTCGAGAGACACTTTCCAACTTTTCGGTCGATGTTGGTACAAAACTTCGTTTCGAATTAGCTAATCTCTCTCTCTCTCTAACATGGTGATGTTGGATGCACCAACGGACGCCGCGGATTTCTGGATTACCGTGCTGGATTACACATTTTCTTCCTTATTACTGTTATGCTTGTTTTTTCTGAATGAATTATACATCAATATTTTTCTTTTGGTGTATTCTTCAACCTGTGCAAATTTGGTAGATATTCTCTGGGTAATTTCGTAGTGCTCATTGATTAGCCCAACTGCCGTCTGTGTCCGCCATCTTGCATTTGTTCCACGGTAATCGGCCATCATGACCACCACACCGGTAACCCGAAACGAAGCATTTTATGCTAATCAAATTTGTGCTAAGGTATTAAAAGAGGGTTGACTTGTACAAATTACTAAGATCGGTATCATTCGAAATGCATCAACGTCTGTTGAACCGAGATAAAGAAATACAAGACGCCGGGTTCACTTTGGTACTGTCCGAAGTGCACAACAATTCCACTAATAAAATGCGTACTAGCGTTAACACAAAAGTGTATGACAGCCTAGTCGTTGTTTAAATGCAAAAATTGCTTCGCTCGAAGCCAAAATAGCGCATCTTGTACTTCATCCGTCTCCCTCAATTGCTGCCTCGAAAACAAGGAAAAGGGCCAGGCGTTCAAACGGCCGCTCAGTACTAGAAACCTTGGAAACCACGAACCAAGTCGTCATCGCGACCGACAGAAGCATACCTAGCCCCATCGCCCATATCCTGTTATCCAATATATCGATTGTTACAATATCGGTAACACCTCTTCCGATTGACCAAGGAAATCCGAAGCGATCTAAAGACCGATCCACTTATGCAGCCGTTGCTGCTCGGTATAATCGAACTGCGACCTCAATAGCCTCACCCAGTACAGCCGCAAAACGAGTCAAGGATCAGGTGCAATCTGCACAGACATCACTAAATCCATCGATAACCGTGCTTCCCACATCACCGAAGACTAGGCGGAACTACGGGGCCTTGACACTTAAATGCACCAACGTTCCTGAGTCCTTAAGGGGTAAACAGCTAGGTGATTTAAAGCAATGGAATTTCCTTTGTGATAAAATCGGAGTTCAAGCCAGTCCGACTAATATAACGCGCATCACTAGACATCCAACTTCGAATCATTATGGGGAGTCCCGGCTAATGCGAGTAACATTGCGATCAATAGATGATGTCGATACGGTGCATTTGTTTGCATCCCGCCTGCGAACTGAAAACAGTGGAATACGCATATTTCCAGATGTTCCATGGAGCGAACGCCAGCGGGACAAAAAAAAATAATTCAAACAACCATCACACGGAGAGTAGCAAAGGAATTATTTTCGTTCATGGCGTGCCCGAGCTACCGACAACCGGCGACGAGGAAACCCATGCTCATGACCTGGAAGAATGGCGTTATATCCGTGAAGTTCTTTGTGCCGGCGATGTCATACTTCAGTCGATTACACGGTTACCCGTGTCGCCAAACTACGGAGGCAGTGGCCCGAGGATACTGAAACTAACAGTGCAATCACAACAGATGGCCGTGAATTTAATCTGTAGCTGGCAGTTACTACGCAACACACTTCCTTCGGAACTACGACTGAAGACAGCAGTTAGAGAGCCGCAGCCACTCGCTGTTCTCGCGGAAACGACACCACCCGCGACTCAATATAACCACAACAGCGATTCAGAAACCTGTGCGCTAAGACCCGTAGATATCGAGAAGGCTGCCGATGGACTACATACCGCAGGTGCAAGTGAGACCAAAAACAGATTACATTCCTATCGAGATTTGGCAATTCACCCAAAAACGATTAGGTGCCGGCCTCTCATCGGTCGACACAAATCCACATCATTCATGTGCTCCTAGTCAACAGCTTTTGACATCCGAGAAGCTTTCCTGTATGTACACCAACGCTCAAGGCTTACTGAGTAAACTTTCCGAAATGCGGCTGCGTCAAAGATCCAAAGCCTGCGACCTCATCGCTATAACGGAGACATGGTTACGCCCTGACATAAGTGACATGGTGATCGCACTGCCAGGCATGTCCATTGTTCGGCACGACCGACCCAGAAATGGTGGAGTGGTGGCTCTGTACTTCCGCAAGGACCTCCAATGTGAACTCATAGAGGATCCAGTCGGCACGGTGCAAGATTCCCTTTGGTGCCATCTACGTTTAAAAGGCGACGACAATTACTTACTGGCGGTCATTTACCCTCCTCCTTCTTGCACGCCGGAGATAGACTCCCAGCTGACATCTGCAATAAGGAGGGTGATAAACAGAACTTACAGTCACATTCTCATTACTGGCGATTTCAACATCCACGCTCTGGAATCCCAAGCAGCTCCCGGGGAACAGTTTAAGACCGAGCTACAAGAGTTCGTCCCCAGTTACCCGCTGTATGGCCACATAAACACTCCATCCTGATTCCGAGGAAAAGATAAGCCTTCGGTACTGGATCGGATATACACCAATGAAGAACTAATAGTCGAGATGGTGATCGTCGACGTCCCATTGGGCCGCAGTGATCATGCGATACTACTCTTCCAATACATTTGCTACGCAGAATATCCCGTGGAAATTTCCGACGCAACGAGAATGTATGTACGCTACGACATATTGGCTCGACTAGGTGAGACAGCCAACTGGATAATCCTGGCAGACGAGGCACCGGCTACTGCATGGGAATATTTCATCAGTCAGTTTAGCTCTCTGGTTGCCGAAGCGTCAACGACTAAGCCATTCCGCCCGAGAAACGTGGTCTCATTTCTGCGAAGCAGGACCCGGTAGTGTATAGCGGCGCTAAACGCAGCCTGGCATATCTACAAACTCTCCCCAAGCACCGAGAACTGGATGGCCTATACCACCCAACGTAACCACTGTACTCAGCTTGTTCGCGAGGACAGAATGGCCTACCAACAGAAGTTGGCAGTGCGTATTGCCCCAATTCACAAGCTTCTGTATCAACACATCAACAGTCCATGTAAGATGAAACGGGGAATTCCTCCTCTTGAAACAGTGGGCAGACCCACACGGATACCGAAGGTGGCGGCGAATACTCTGCGCCTAAAATACGCTGCAACATTTCAGTGCGATCACTGGTCACCTAACCCTCTGGAGATGGTTGCTCTACCCAAAAAAATCACACACATATCCTTCACAGCAGAAGCTGTACTAAAAAAGCTGTTGAGTATGCGCAAGCACAGCTCTCCTGGAGTTGATGATTTGCACACGAAATCGCTAGCGACAGCAGGAGAGAGTATAGCTGAGCCTCTGGCTCGATTCTTCCAACATTGTTTTGAAGATATGTACGTGCCCGACATGTGGAAACACAGGATGATTATTCCTATTCCCAAGAGAGGTAGTTGTTCCAATCCAGCCCACTATCGTGCCATAATCTTACTGCTGGTTCTTTCAAAGGTCATGGAACCTACTATTTCTGATGCGCTAACCGCCCACTTGGAAGAATCTAACTACCTCGCACCGGAACAGCATGGCTTCCGACGAAATCGATCGTGCACTACTAATTTGCTACTAGCACGATCCAGCTGGACTGTAGTAGTAGACTGGCACAGGAGTTGATGTAGTCTTCCTTGACTTCTCGAAGGTGTTCGACCGGTTAGACCATAACATTGCTCTTCAAATTTCAGACCTTTGGTATTGGTGATCCCCTCCTAGGATAGATCAGAAACTTTCTTCTACACCGGCGCCTGGAAGTGCGTGTGCGTGTTTCACTGTCAGATCCCATCCAAGTTGAATGCGGAGTACCACAGGGATCGGTACTAGGACCGTGATTATTTTTGAAGTGTATTAACAATATCACACGCATCATAAGCTCGAAGTGCCTTCTTTATGCCGATTACATCAATATGTGGAGGGCGATCAAAACGCCAGACAATATCACAGTAGTTATTCCCCTTCATAAAT